ACTCCCGAAAATTCCATCTCTATGACTCAACGGCAGTTTCTCAAAGCGTCAGTGGCATACCTAGAAGATTTTGTCGTTTCTTGTATATTCGAGACGCAGTCCGACTGTCTTCACACGTCAGCGTTGCTTCGATCTTGAATCGAGTGGCAGACTTCCAAGGTCGCCCTTACACAGGGTTGGCTCCGCTTCACATTGCCCCCTCCTTAAGAAATAGTTCCTCCTGGAACTAATACTGAATGATTGTATCTGCAACTGGATCTCCTTTTACAAATTCCAGCTGCATGGAAGTAACAAGAGATAGTCTTCGCTATAACCTGGACGCTGGAAGAATGGCTGCAGACCAGTATTTCAACCTGGGTATCTTGGAAGATTACTTCCTCCAATTCAGCTGGTTGCTCTCTATCTTTGGCATAGCTAGTTTCCGTACATTGGACTCCATTACATGCTCCCTCAGACTGAATAATGCTTCCCATACATCCTGATAGATGGATTGATCTCGGAAGGTGTTCTTTGTTACCAAATAGAAAAGATAACGCGATCCATATTGAAGTTTTAATGCTTTTCCAGGGGCTGGTAACTGATCTTGAAGTTCTGGCAATTGACCAAACTTATTCCGGAATACAGATGCTAGACCTCGAGTGCTATGGATCAGCGAGTAGTCGTTTGGAACCGTGAGCAGGTCTTGTTGTTGCTCGGTGGTAACACCATGTCTTGCTTTTCCAGTTCCTCCATATGCACCCATAAATTCTTCAAAGACAAGGTCAGGTGTTTCTTGAAGTTGGTTTACTTCTTCTTCCTCCTCATGGTCACCCTCAAATGGCGCCAGCCGGTTTTGGTGCACTACCTTTGGTTTACCGTTCGGGATCTTACTTATACGGTAAATGACACCATTGATTTTTTTCTTGATGAGGTACGGGCCTTCCCAAGACCTTTGAAGCTTTGGAGAATAAGCATTTTGTCTTTTTAGGTCATGGAGCCAGACTTTGTCGCCTTCCTTGAAAAATCCTTCTGTGGCTTGGGTATCGTATCGCTTCTTCATTCTGTCACTGGCGATTTGAAGAGCGGACCAATTCATGCATATCGTCCATTCTTCTTCGTAACTGGATCACATAATCTTTACCAGCTACATCTTCTCCAGGTCGGCATCCAAACTCGAGGTCGCACGGTAGTCTCATCTCACGCCCAAACAGGACCTTTGCTGGTGTTTGACCTGTTGATTAATTGACAGCGGATCTATAAGCCATTGCAAAGAGCGAAAGATACTGATCCCAATCTCGCTGATGGTTTGAAACCACTTTTGACAGATATTTTTCAATGGTTTTATTCATTCGCTCTACCATTCCATCAGATTGGGGGTGCAATGCTGTGGTTCTGGTTTCTTCATGCCTAGTATGTCACAGATTCCACGGAAGAGTTGGCTTTCAAAATTTCTGCCTTGGTCACTGTGGATCTCCAAGGGCACTCCAAATCAACAAATAAACTTTTATTAACACATCTGCAACAGTTGCGGCCTCTTGATTTGGAATGGCGTAGACTTCCACCCACTTCGTGAAATAATCCATAACCACCATCATGTATTTATTACCATTCTCGGTCGTGAGGAATGGTCCAGCAATATCTAGGGCGATCCTCTCAAATGGGCTACCAACGTTGTATTGCTTCATGGGAGCCTTCCTTTTTCGCTGAGGTCCATTACTCATAGCACAGCTGGTACATTTCTTACATCAGTCCTTTACATCATAGGAACTATTCAGTGGCGGCTCGTGGGGTGGTTCACAGTGACAGAATATAGGTATCAGTACAGATATATGAAAAAAACTTTCAGTGTTTTAGAAAGTTTATAATATATCTTTCTAAAACACTGACAGTTTTTTACCTACATCTGTACCGAGACATATATTCTGCTACTGTGAACCCCCAAAATTTTGGTCAGGAGCCGCCCCTGGAACTATTCATGTAATAAAACCTTTCCCGAACTCTCTGAAGGGTTTTCCTAACACCGAGATGCCCTCCTGATGGACTGTCGTGTAACTGACGAAGTACTTCGACTACTGTACTCCTTGGAATTCCTTCTGTTCTCGGAATCATCATCATTTTCAAGTACTCGCTTTAATAAGCCATCTTTCAGGATAAAGGAGTCCCACTGAGCCAAATACGACTTAAGTACTGGAGAGAGATTCGATACTTCTTGCCAAGTAGGTCGACGATTTTCCTCTTTCCATTGTCGCATTTTCTTTAGAACGGCATCGTTCACTTGTTCTTGCCTAATTTTAGCAGCGGCCCATTCATCGTTGACTACCGTTGTTCTTAGTAGTCCACTTTCTTTGGATTCCGCTTTGTAGCAGTGGGAGCACTCTGCTGGACACGGTCTTCTTAACAGAGAATCGGCATTTCTGTGACTCATCCCGGCTCTATGTTCGATTTTATGAAGTCGTTCAATCAATCTGGCGATTTGACCCTCCGGGTTTTTGAACTGCACCAACCACTTAAGAGCAGCATGATCGGTACGATTAAGAATTTTCTTCCATATAGGTATTGGTAGAAGTGTTCCACGCATTTCACAACTGCCAGGAGTTCTCTTCTCGTGACGCAGTAATTTTGCTCAGGTTTCGAGAGCACTTTACTAAAATAACCCAGTACCCAGTACCCTTTCTTTTCCCTCTTGAATCTGTGAAAGCACTCCTCCAATTCACACATTAAATAAAAAGGGGAAAAGCTGAAATTGAAGGATGAGGTAATACCATGTACATTTCCCAAATCTCCCTTTATACTTGTACTACAACAAGCTTTTACCTAGACAGTGGTTGAGTGAAATTTTTCCACGACGTTGGAGGCTTCTAGGTCACCTGACCTGACAGCTTTTATGTTGCCCATTATTCCTTTTTTTTTAATGTATACTCCCGTATAAACCTTTTTCTCTTATTATCGTTTTAAATACCTATCTTTTAAAAATTTAAATAGTTGAAGTAGAACCCAGACTATAGAGCTCGCGTTGGCTTCGGTTATGAAACTATTTAACCGGACGAAATGATGGTTTATTGCGATGATATTTTAAATGTTAAGTTCATTGTCGAACGATCAAGTAGGCCAGTGCACTGGAAGTAGGTGTTCAAGTACCGACTAAAGCCAAATAAAATTAATAAATCCACATTATATTTCGCTACGCTTCTATCATTTTGTCTAACGTATTGTTCGTTTATGGATGAAGAGATAACGAACCGAAAATGTGAACTAGAATGTCGAATTAGCGAATGTTTTGCGGACAATGACGTTTAAAAGGGGTGGGATTCCGTTTCGCGATTCGATTTTAATTTGATGTCAAACTGACGTCAGGAAAAGTACGAACATGTACGGAAATTTCGCGTTTTGTACGTATTATTCCGGTCACGATATAGTGTAAAATTTTTTGTCAATTAAAGTCATTATTTGTTTTTGCCTGCTGATACTGATACCTGTAGGTACAAAGTTGTATTTAACAAGCAAATATAATATAAAATCAAACGAAGGATTTACTGATTTAATTTTTTATTCATGAATTCTTAAATATTAATAGAAAAATCACTACCATCACCCTCATCACCTTCCTCATCAGATTCACCATCGCCTTAATTACAAGTCTTTTTAAAACTGATACGTGTCGCATGCATTCATTTTCAACCTTAATTACATGGTTTATAGCATTTCTCCAGTTCTCAGAGGTAATATTTGAGAACTCTTCCATTATAAGTTTTACAACGCTGTTGGAATTTTTTGGTGAAGTATTATTTATTTTTACTTGTTTTTTAAGTGGGCCCATAATAGTTCAATCGGGTTCAAAACACAGTGGTAAGGGGGTAATCTTAACACATTATGACCATTTGTCTTGGCCATTTCGTCGACGATGTTCCTTAGCGATTATTTTTGTATTTAGAACTTCTATAAGTTGGGCCTTCATGCTCTTCAAAAGACAAATCTTCAATCAAAAATGTTTTGATGTCTTCTTGAATGATATGATGCATTATCTAAGACAATTACATTATTTGGATGTAGTGCTGGAAAACGTTGAATAGAAAAATCATGCGCAGTGCCAATGTCAAAAGGACCTAAGCGTGTGTATCGGCTATTATAGGTCGAATTTAAACGAGGAAAACGCCATTATGTAGAGAACGCGGTATATATTAAAATTGAAGAGAAAAATCTAGCACAGTACCAATGTCAAAAGGACCTTAGCGTGTATCTCGGCTATTATTAATCGGATTTAAACGAGGAAAACGGCATTATGTAGAGAACGTGGCATACATTAACGTTAAAGAAAAAAATCCTACGCAATGTTAAAGTCAAAAGGACCTTAGCACGTATCTCTGTTACTTTTTGTCAGATTTAAATGAGAAAAACGACATTATGTAGAGAACTCTAAAACGTTGAAGAGAAAAATCATGCGCAGTGACAGGCCAAAAGGACCTAAGCGTGTATCTCGGTTATTATTGGTCTAATTCGAGTGAGAAAAATCAAAAGAACGATAGAGACAATGAATCCACAAGGGTTTTCCGCCACTAAAAAAGGCAAAGACGGGTTTGTCAGCAACTATGTTTTGGGTTTCTCATTGATTTATTTTGGCCGATTTGTTGTAATAACTTAACGACCAAATCAAAGAGAAACAGTCTCATTTGATAAAGAAGAATGTACTTTTCCATCAGGACAACGCACTTGCCCACAAGTTTGCGATTGCAATGGCTAAATTCATGAAATGAGATTTGAATTAGTGTGTCATTTCCTCTATTCCACAGATTTGGATCCTAGAGATTATAATCTGTTACCAAACTTAAAAAAAATGGATCGATGGTAAAAGATTTTCGTCTAATTCCTGCTGTAAATAGGTATTTTGATGACTCAGATTCATCGACCTACGATGTAAAGACATTGCTAATTTGGAATATCGTTGAAATAAGTGTGTTGAGCCAGTATTATTGAACAATAAAATATTTTCGTTGAAAAAAAGAAAACTATCTTTAAAAGGCGATTAAAAATAACTATTTTAATAAATAAAAATAACTTAATTAGAGTAATAATTGGCGATACAAAATATACATACCCATACGTACAATTTAAAAATAATTAAAACAAAATATAGTAATTTAAAAACAGTATCAGATCTCTTTCACAAAATCTCCATTTTGTAAATGTTCGACATACTTTTTTCTGCAATCCAAATTGTCGTTAGGTCTGTTGTAAGGAGTCCAAATCGGTTCTCCAACGAAAAATCGTTTTGCTTTTATAAAATTGTTGCTGTCTAAAGTAAACCTGTGATAGATGCCGCTCGGCAAAATAAGTAAATCCCCTGGTGTAACTTCGATTCTTATCCATTTGTCATTTTTGTCTCTCACGTCAAAGTATCCCGAACCTTCTACCACCAACCTGAAAATTTAAGAACGAAAAGTCAAATTTAAACGTCATGTTTATATTATAAACACGTAAAAAAAGATAGTAGAAAAAATGTCAGGAATGTATAACAGAGTTGTTGTATTGAAAGAAATTATGCCAATAACATAATTGTTGTTTAACACATTATGAAGCTTAAGTTGATACTTTTTTAACTGCGCCATTAAAATAAACAACTTTAAAAAAACTCAAAAATAAGAAACTTATAATAACACTGGCCAACAAAATTATACTTTTTGACTGATGAATGACTTATGTCACATGATGTTTACTAATTTTAAGTCGCTGATTCTAAATATACCCCCACTTTTTTTTCTGACAGCTCTTGGTTACGAGTTATAGCTTTCACTAAAAATTCGCTGTATTATAGTGTTTATTTGCAGTTTATTTAATATTAATTATTGAATTATTATACATATTTAATTTTATTAAGAAATACTATTAATTTATAATCCTCTTTAACGACCCCTCTATTGTACCTCTCCTTAATGACCGGTAAAACCAAATTTCAGAATTCTTAAGAAATGATCTTTTGTTATTTTAGGGGAAGGTTTAGTAAGACGATAGTGAAATAAATTATCTTTCTTGTTTGAATTATTGTTTTATTTTGTAATTTGATATGGCATCGTCAAGAAGAGTATGTGTGAATGATTCAAACAATTTTTGTTTGATTTGCGGAGAGTATGTATTTAAAGAATACCGTTTAAATGTGCTTGTGGGGAGGGGGGGTTAACGTTAATTCATTGATCATATTCTCTATGATCTGCTGATTTCTATTGTTCTGAGTGTTTTTTGTGAAGTTTGACTGAAAGTAGCTGCCGAGGGCGTGGCTTTTGTCTGTGTCTGAGGTTTACGTGTTCAGTCCTTGTATCAGTGGGGGGAGTAGTGATTGTGGTTTCTTTAAACCCTTTACTACTCTCCACTGTGAGTTGTCCATTCTGGGGTGGGGGTGCATCATTGTTGTTTGATGATTCCTCCCCTGATGAGACATCATTTTGTCAAAAATTTAGGATTCTGGCAGTCACGTGACTTGGCATTGCTATGGTTTTATAAGCAGATTCGAATTTTGGGATTTCTGAATTTTCTCCATACTTTTTTTTTGTTCAAAAGTTGAAGAATTTTTTATTGTGTTAGGAGTGTCGGTGTCAGAATCATATTCATCAATGTGCAAATCGGGCAAATCATCTGTGTCAGGGCTGCTGGATCCACTGTGAGAGCGCTCAAGAGTCTTTATAAGTTTCTCCATACTTTCATTGTTGGCATCGGCTCTCGGTCCGTCGATACTATATTGCGATGACTGAGAATCGTTGTATTCGTCGTGAGTCGAATCGCTCGGCGGCTGCTCTGGCTATTGGTCGGCTACGTTTTCGTATCTTCTGCGTATTTCGCGACTGTCAGCTTTCTGCATCCTTTTTTGGCTCTCAGCCGCTTTCTCCATACTTTTTTCGCTCATTTTCTGCAAAGTTTCATTTTTCTCTGCTGTTTGTATCGGATTTTAATGGCTGTCTGGTATTGGATTCTCATGTTCTGGGGTGGCTTGATTCTCTGTGGCCGTCTGATTTGGGTTGGTATCTTTCACCAAATTAGTGAGTACTTTCTCCAAACTTTCTGGAAGTACTCACAGTTTTGAATGGGTGTGTGTGTTTTGCCTTGAAGATCTTGGGGCTGTAGAGTGCAGCGTGTTTTTTCGACACATTAACGTTAACTGTAGGCGGTTTTGCCGCAGCGGTTATACGTTCGTGGACACGACGCGAGTTCAATGTCTCGTACTCGGTTCTGGTTGGCCCGGAAGGCTCCCCCATATGCGGGGTTACACTCCGAAATTGTTTCTTACACTATACCTGGCACACGATTTTGTTCGGACAAATAATGAAACGGGAAAAAATAGTTTATGTTTGTAAAGTTCAGAAAGTTAGGTTATGTTACCAAGGAAGACACGATATGCGTAGATCTGGGTAGCAGTAGCCTAGGTTCAAGGTCCTAGGTGAATATTTTCCTAGTAAGCACTGGGAATGTTAGCCGAGTCCACAAATGTGTGGTTGGCTCCTTGAGCGATCTCCTGTTGTTTTGATTTCATCGCTAGTTCCATTCTCTTTTGAACTTGGCTGCACCGTACTGATGAAGACCAATAGTCAGAAACACGTGTCTACGGTATTCAATTAGTATTCAATAAAACACAAAATTCAATAATAATTTAATAAATAGGTATACGAAAGTAATCGAAACTAGTTGCCCTTTTCCATATTTAATGAATTGTGATAGGTTTTGTGCCTTTATTAATTAACAAAAATTATATTGACAATTAAATTTACTTTACTCTGCTCGTGATTACCTATATATATTTTGGATAAAATAAAAATGATAATAAAAAGTGAAATAGTCGTCCAGTATGATAGCGAAATTTTATCAAATAAATAATTATTGTTTTGACTACCAAGTTCGGTCAACTTCAGTTTCATTTATCTTTTTTATAAGGTCAATTCTCTGGTTATAACCGTCCGTTTATCACGAATATAAGCACAAGTAGTATTTTCAATTACTTCCTATATTCAAATAAATAGAATTTTGAATTGATAAAATGTTAATGTTAATAAACATTTTTTCTTTAATTTTTATCATCATTAACGCACAATCATCATGAAATAACCTAACCTAATCCAATTTAACCTAAACTAACCTAACCTAACTAACCCTCACTAGCATCTGGCCAGTGAACCTCGATTCCAACTTTTAACGAACGTCTCTTTATCGTGGGCATTTAATAATAAGAAAATATACAATAAGACGAAGCAACGACTTCTTGTAGGGGAGAAAATTTTAACCCATACCTGGCTATACGCCGACCGGCATAGACTCCAACGGCCTAGACACAACTCAAATTGAAAAAAAAAGTATTTTTTACAAATATTAGATAAGTACCGACATGCCGACGCACAATCATCATGAAATGAAATAAAAAGACGGATGTCTGTGATTACTACAAATGTTTTCACTTCGTAATCCAAATTCACCCCAGTAGGCCAGACACTATGTAATTTTTCAGCCAACTTTCATTAACTGAATTATTTCCTGACTTATGTTTTCTTACTCGATTTGGCAACACTGCATTTATAGAAACTAGAAACATCAATTGTCACTGAAATTAATTTACTGTTTATTTGTTTTTCTAACAAACTAAAAATGAAAAATAAAAAAATTTGATCGTTTATGAAAAAAATTTGTATGGTTTATTGCTCTATGAATGGCCTAATATTGATATTTAGCCATTTCTGCAACAAGAAACCAGTGAATATGGTTTATTTCACATTTGTTTTATGATGGAGACAATAAATTTTAAGGATTTTAAGGTAAAAATTTTTTAGTATCAGCGGACCCAAAATTGTTTTGTATACTGTGTTTCAAAGTATCTAGAAACTTTCTATAATATTTCAATTGTTATATCCGCCGTTCGAGTGTCGGCGTATATTAGCCAAGGTGTCATACGGACACGAACCCTTTTCTTATTTAAAATTTTCGAGAGCATGCTCATAATTCAGAAGGGGTGCAAGGAGGAGTGGAGGTGATATTTTCATACAATAAATTATCACACTAATAATAGAAATTGACCTAAAAATACATAATAACGCTAAAATGAATTTATTCCATACATTTGGACCGCACAGTATAATAGAGGACTTCTATACAAGGGAAGTGCAACCAACTTGACAAACTAAAATTGACACTAATGACATAAGAAATCGGGTCACATAAAGAGGCTGTTTTTTTGTTCAATTTTTGGTTTTTCTTATATACTCTTATGCCATTTACATACCATGTTGTACCCGTAACGTAAAAAAGACTTTATTTTAGGGTATTTTACATTTAAAGGTTGAAGACATCTATCAATGTCAGCTGTCGATAATGTCAAAACATAAGCGTAGCATTGCAATTTATTTTTTTATTGTTAATAGTCTATTTGTGTTCCACCCGGTTTCCTTAAACATTTTTTTCATTTGGTTTTATATATTTATGTCAAATGCAAAAATGCTGCTGCTACAAATACAAGTTCCATACACTATACAACAATATACAATACTAGTTACATTATGCCCATCTATGGTTACGCCTGTGTTCTACCATCAACATAATTGACAGCTGACACTGACAAATTTTTTCAACCTTTAGATGTAAAATACCCTAAACTTAAAAGCCTTTTTTACCTTACGGGTATAACATGGTATGTAAATGGCATAAAAATATATAAGAAAAACGAAAAAGTAAACTAAAAAACAGCCTCTTTATGTGACCCGATTTCTAATGTCATTAGTGTCATTTTTATTTTGTTAAGTTGGTTGCACTTCCCTTGTATAGAAGTCCTCTATTGAATCATGTGACCAATCATCAAATATCAAACTAATGTAACTTAAACTGATAGTTAGGCAACATATTATACATTTGCAAAATTACCTGATTTCTTCTTCTGCGTGTAAGTGCTCCGTGAAAAATATCTTCAACTTATCTTCGTAATTCGGCAGACAATCTTTCGAACAAACCAATTCGTCCTCATAGTTGTATCCTCTTTGTTTTTTTATCGCTTCTAGTTCCCCGTCGGTTTTGAGGTTAAGTCGAAAATATTCCACTCCAGTTATTTTCAACAGGTCTTCAAGACTTACGAGTTCCGGAGGATTTCTGTGATGTGGTAAACGTTGATCTGTTGTGGTATCGTCGTCCATATACCAAGCGCGAACCATTTTTCACGAATTGTCTTTTAAATTATACCTAATAAAGTATGAAATGCAATATCAATTTAACGAAATAAATAAGACAAAAAGTGCACAGTCAGACAATTAAACAAGCCACAGATCATTTATAAACAAGCTTAGATAAAGTAATTTTAAATCAATATTTTACCTTTGTAAACAAGATAAAATTATTAGTCTAGAGGTGGATGTTTACCTTGTTTCGTTATTTTCGTTACACTCTTCGAGCATGGAGCTGGAGCATAATATATTATATTTCATGGAGTCCGCATTCAACAGCGTTTGTTTGGGTTAAGAGGGGAAATGTACCAGTGTCGCATCATTTTTACGGGGTTTGCAATTAATATAAATAATAAATTTGATACATAGCTTCAAAATTCCTTAAATTATGCACATATTTTATAAATTTGCGTTATTTAAGTAGGTATCTAGTAATAGTAAATTATTATTAATATTATTATTTGTGTTCAACACATCAGATTTTTTTTAATTCAAACATTAGAAGGTATATAACGGAAAAATGGAGGATGAAATAATAGGCAAGAAAAAAGATAAAAATCTTATATTTAAAAATCAAAAATATAAATAAATAGTAGGTATATTATACATATATTTGTAATATCTATTAACACACGTGTACGATAATTACAATACAAGAATGTTTTCCAATAATTTATTAAATATAAAAATATTCTTCGTAAACAATGTTCAATAGATTACTAAACGATATACTACAAATATAAATCAAGCTAATACTTAGGTACTTAGGTACATTTAATAATTAGGAGTGCAAATAAAGAAGCTTAAAAAGACTTTTTTATTGAAACACTCACATTAGGCTTTGCTTATTTCTTAACGACTAGCAGTCTACTTAATTAAAGAACATAGGTACATTTATTAAAAAATAATTATTTTCAATTTTTATGGTTTATAAAAAATATAGGTACCTAGTAAAGTATTTAAAAATAAAATTTATGTTGTATTAAAAAGTACTTAGTTACTTACATGTTTTCTAATTCTGCATTTTCTTTTTCTGCAACATGCTTCATGGTTCAGATCATCACTGAAAAATTAAAAATTTTAAACGAATAACCCACAAGAAAAGTTCAGGGTTCTTTACCTTTTAGATTCATCTTCTTCTGGGGTCTCAGTAAATCCTGATGGCAAAGCACCTGGAATTAATCTAGTTCTTCCTCCGCTCCAGTCTTTGACATAAACATATATCCAAAAAAATAATTGGAACATCACTATTTGAAATGTTTTCTGGAATAAGTTACTATTATGCTTCACCTCCTTGTTAGTATAAATAAAGATAACCCTGTAGTATACCTATGTTACGCCGCTGATCAACATGTTCGGATTTAAAATTTTACGTCACTCTCTATCGCTGCCTGCCTACATTACTCATTACCAATTGTTGTGATTCACATCGTTAAACCGACCACATTCCAGTGATTATAAAAACATGGGTAAAAACTATCGAAAACGCAGATCGTATTAGAAATACGATAAATTGAAAAATAAATGAAGGAATTCAGAGCACAGGTAGGAAAATAATGTATTTCTTTTTATTTAACTGATTTTTAGCTTGCAGAAGATACTACTTTATGTGTAAATTTCTGCAGTTAGACGACAAATAAATATACAGAAGATACTACTTTATGTGTTAACGGTGCAGTCATTCATAAAATCCGTCTGCAAAACGAAAAATGCTACTTAATGTGCAAATTTCGCAAAACTTTGATGAGGGCAGATACTACTTTATGTGTAAATTCTGCATTATAGACAAAGACATGTACAGAGGAGGCTACTTTATGTGTTAACTCTGATCTTATACTAGTACAGGTTTGAGAATGGTTTTCTTCATAATTTAATTGATTTTTAGCTTGCAGGAGATACTGCTTTACTGTAAATTTCCGAATTTAGACGACATATAAATATGCAGAAGATACATCATTCATATAAGCCGTATGCAGAGCGAAAAATGCGACTTTATGTGCAAATTTCGCAAAACTTTTGTGGCGGAAGATACTACTTTGTGTGTAAATTCTGCAAATAACAAATAACTATACAGATGAGGCTACTTTATATCTTAACTCTGATCTAATACTTACATTATACAAGCCCAGCTAACTGCAACGCGAAAAATGCTACTAAATGTGTAAATTGTGTAAAACTTTGGTCGATAAGATACTATTTTATGTGTAAATTATTTAAGCCAAATAAATGTACAGAGGAGGCTACTTTATATGTTAACTCTGATCTAATACTTACATTACGCAAGCCCAGCTAACTGCAACGCGAAAAATGCTACTAAATGTGTAAATTGTGTAAAACTTTGATCGAGAAGATACTATTTTATGTGTAACTTATTTAAGCCAAATAAATGTACGGAGAAGGATACTCTATGTGTTAACTCTGATCTCATACTTATAAACTGCAAACTCGGCTAACTGCAACTCGAAAAATGCTACTTAAAGTGTAAATGTTGTAAAACTTTGGTCGAGAAGAAACTATTTTATGTGTAACTTATTTAAGCCAAATAAATGTAGAGAGAAGGCTATTTTATGTTAACTCTGATCTCATACTTTTAAACTGCAAACTCGGCTAACTGCAACACGAAAAATGCTACTTAAAGTGTAAATGTTGTAAAACTTTGGTTAAGAAGATACTATTTTATGTGTAAGTTCTGCATTTAAGCCAAATAAATCTACAGAGAAGGCTACTTTATGTATTAACTCTGATCGTATACTTATAAACTGCAAACTTTGCTAATTGCAACGCGAAAATTGCCTCTTAATGTGTAAAATTAGTAAAACTTTGGTCTACAGGATACTATTTTATGTGTAAATTCTGCATTTAAGCCAAATGAATATACAGAGAAGGCTACTTTATGTATTAACTCTGATCTTATATTTATAAACTGCACCGCGAAAAATACTACCTAATGTGTAAACTTTAATGTATAAATTCTACATATTATTGCAATATAAATGTACAGAGAAGGTTACTTTATGTATTAACTCTGATCTTATACTATCCCAGCTAACCGCATCGCGAATAATTCTACTTAATCTGTAAATTTCGCAAAACTTTGGCCACAAAAGATAATATTTCATATGGAAATTTGCATTATAAACAAATAAATGTACAAAGGAGGCTGCTGTATGTGTTAAATCTGATACTTATAAGATGCTAGCCCGGCTAACGGCAATGCGAAAAATGCTACTTAAAGTGTAAAGTTAAAAAAACTTTGGAAGCAGAATGTAGGTACTATGTAAATGCTGCATTATAGACAAATAAATGTCTGGTAACTCTGGTCTTATACTTATAAAATGCAAGGACGCACAAACGCTATGCAAAGCACATGATTATGTTACTGTATGGGTAAATCCTGCACCTTAAAAAAAATGCCGTTTTATGTGCACATGAATTAGCCATTGATTAAATATAGATTTAAGTTTAAAAATCTAAGAGGTATATACATTAAACTCGTCATCTTCACCAGAACAGACGTTCGAATAGTAAGGATCAAATTCAGTATCAGGATATTCTCTGGGAGTGGATCCTAATAGCAACATCTCTCTCGGAAAACCAATCAACGAAGAAATGGTAAAAAGTTGGGAAAATATTTGCAAGACGGTTTGGAGAATGGCAAAATATCAAAGTTTCTTTGCGAAATCAAAATCTGGAATACTTTCACTTGGGTCCCCCACCTTAAACTCCGAACCAAAAAGTTTAGTGACTAGTCACGTCATCAAATAAAACCGACAGCTATTTATATACGTTGAAGACACATACGAAAATCAAAGTATGTGGTTGAAGACCAACTTGAAAGGTGATTGGAAGTTCAGCTAAACCTCTGTAATCTAGGCTTGGAGGGAACAGAAATAGACGCATCAAAACAAATCGTCGGTGTCGTTCTAATACCTCGTAACCCTCATTTTGACAAAAATGAGATTTTTACGTCAAATTGTTGCGGTTACCCATATTTACCATTACAGAAAACCTTGTAGCCCACAAAATTTTTAAAACTTTAAAAATTTAACTTTTCTAATACCTCGTATAGTAATAGTAATAAATAAACAACGGTTTTTGGGTTCTCCTGTAAAATGTTACTTTTGGTATTAGAACGACACCGGCGAAATGCAAATGTAACAAAAGTATTATCAGACATTTACCATAGAATATATGCATCGTAAGCACCTTATATATCCGTCTTTAAACAGCAGGAATGTTGGTATGGTATTGTACATTATGCGACACTGAGAATGTCCTTTTTGTCAATGACCAGAATAATGGAGTTTAAGTTAAATTTGATTTTTACAAATAATGGAATACTAAATATTTTGCCTAGCTTTAATAGAATATAGGATTGTATTATTCGAATTTTGTGTTATTAATAAAAATGTTGTAAAAATGAATAAAAAATATTGATTAAGTAACCTACTACCTCTAGCAAAGAAAATTTGTTTTGAAACAATTTATATTATTATCTCCCGCCGTATTCTTTATCAATTCATAAAGATAATACTTTATAAAAGGAAAGGTCAATAATGACATCTATTTTTGTATTTATACAGAAGAGAATCTAAATTCTAAATTTAGTCTAGATCAGCGGTTCTCAACATTTTTGGGGATGGAACCATTTTGAAAAGCAAAATATTTGACGGAGCCCTATAAAATAATAAAAATAGATTTTTTAAACTTTATATTGGAATATTTAAAGATACCTAGGTTTTATTTTACTCTGCAATCTTATAGTACTCCTTTAGTATTTTTTTTTTTGTTATGACTAGTATTTTCGCGGAGCCCCCACAGAGGCTTTGCGGAGCACTAGGGCTGCGCGGAGCACACTTTGAGAACGACTGGTCTAGTAAACAATAATTAATAGTTATTTATGAAACCAGTTACGAAATACCTTATTTTATGTAATAGAGTGAATATTTGCGGGACGAGCAGAGCGAGGTCCCGCAATATGAACGAGTGTGACCACTTCTTTATTTCAAAAAGGGGCGCCATAAAAAACAGTTTGAAAACCACTGGTTTATGCAATAACAGCTTATAGGCACCCATACAGCACAAATTAGTTGTCTATGAATGAAAATTCCGACAGAGTTAGCATAGGTGGCGTATCAAATACCAAATAATTATTTATTGGGTATTTGTTAGTAAACTTTATTAAATTTGTTTGTCAACATCTTTATTTAAACAAAGATGATGCGTTAAATATGCGTTTTTGATAGTTTTCAAGAAATTAATGTATTTATTCCCTAATGACTTCGTTATCTGTGTTTAATGGTGTCGATGGTGTAGCGGTCTAACGCGCTTATATTCATTTATAAGCAAGTTTATGTGTCAGAGACTGCTGGGCTTCGAATCCCAGACCAGACCATGTGGATTTTTAATTAAATTGCATGGTTCGGTATAGGATTTGATGTGTGCCGTATTAATAGAAATTCAATTTCTGTTGATATGACATGCAGATTATAAAAAAAATCGCCATACATTATCGTCTCGATGATGGTGGGTGAGGTTTTCCCGGTTTTCCTCATCTGTAAGTCAAATGGCACCATCAATCATCTTTAAGTCGCCCCGGAGCGCCACGGCAAATAATAATAATAATAGCCGTCCCTTTCCCCGGACAAGCTCAGCTTTTGGGGTTAAAATTCACTCGTAAGGGGATGAATTAGGGAGAGTATTATTATTATTATTATTATGTGTTTCAAGTAAATAAACGACAGACGAGTTACAGATTGAATATTGTCAGCACAGGCACAAAGACAGTTGAAAACTAACTTTCGACGAAGTTAGATTTGTATCGCTTTAACAATTTACGATAATTATTTTATATTTTATAAACACTTTTTTGTATAAGTGCTCTTTTCTGATATACGAGAAGGTGTTTATGTTTGTGCCTTACAATTTGGTAGTGGTAGTGCATATTCGAGGAGTTATATTTATTGTGTATTTTATTAGTTAGGTACTTTAAAAGTTTATTAAATAGTAAAATATTGGTGTCTTTATAAATTTAATAAAAACAATTTAATAGTAGAATTATATTGTTACAATAGTAATGGATTTAGAAGCGGGTCCAAGTGAAACCCAATCACGTCGGCGAAAGCCCTTATCAAAGGTTGAAAAGAACATTATATGGAAAGTGTATGATGGGCTGAAACAGACACTTCCTACAAATGAAGCTGTAAACCGTAGTTTTTTTTTTAACTGGAGTATCTGTTTCAACAATTGAACGTATATTGTACGCGAAAAGATAAAAAAAGGCTCCTTAGAAGCCCCTAAACCGCATACCCGTGGTCGAAAATTGTTGAAATTGGACGATAACCAAAAACAAATCATTCGAAGAACTGTACATTCTTTTTTTTCGAAAACAAAGCCCCAACACTTAAAGTTGTTCTCACGAAATTAAGAGAAAACGAAGAAATTCCATTAATGAGCCGTAAAACTTTACGAAAAATTTTATGGGGCCTAAAATTTCGTTTTGTCAAACGGTGTAGGAAATCAATTTTAATTGAAAGGTCAGATATAGTGTCCAGGCAACGGCGTTATTTACGAAATATTAAAGAGTTTAAAGCCACTTAAAAAAAGATATACTATCTCGATAAAACGTGGGTGAACGCTGGATACACGGTATCTAAGATATGGCAAGATACTTCTGTAACTACTCATCGCCAAGCTTTTATAGAGGGATTATCTACAGGTTTGAAAGCACCATCAGGTAAAGGACAGCGCCTAATTGTTACCCATATCGGAAGTGACAGTGGATTTTTGGAAAATATATCGAAAAAATAAACAGGAGACTACCACGAGGAGATGAATGCGGAATGCTTTGAAAATGATTTACTGAAGTATTACAGCGTGTAGAACGAAATTAAGTTATTGTACTAGATAACGCTTCTTATCACAGTCGACGAGTTGAACGCATTCCGATAATGTCACGTAGGAAAGCGGATATGCAAACCTGGCTGCGGAATAAAGCAATAACATTTACTGAGGAGATGCTTAAAGTGGAATTAATGGACCTAATAAAGGAACACCGCCATAAATATATTCAATATGTTGTCGACACAATGGCTCGTGTCGTGGTATTACGGTACTAAGACTTCCCTCTTATCACTGCGAATTCAATCCTATTGAACTAATTTGGGCGCAAGTGAAAGGGTTTGTAGCTCGAGAAAATAAAACTTTTAAAGTAGCCGACGTTTAAAGTTTATTAAAAACAGGTATAGAACGTATAAAACCTGAAGATTGGCAGAATGCTATTTCCCATGTAATTAAGGAAGAAAATAATATGTGGCGCTTGGACGGTATGATCGAAACGGCAGTTGAACATTTAGTCATAACTTTAAGTTCCGACGATTCCAGTGATAGTTCTGCAGAATCAATGGATTAGGAAACTTCATAGATTTAGAATTCAAGTAAGTGATACCAAGCTTAATTTACATATTTTTATAATAAACAAAACCTACCCAGTAAACGACAAATAGTCGGCAGTCGCTCGGCCAGACACCGGCATGTACGGGAAGCGAAGTACTCGGATTAACGTTGTCGGGGTTGCTTCTGAGCCTGTAGGACCGTAACATTTGACGTAATTTAGAAGTAGAAACCGCATATCCATATTTCCTGGCATGGGAAGCATCCTTATGGGCCGAACGCGGTGGATATTTGGCTAGCCAGGCATCCTTACGAGTCGAACTATATATAGATATATGAACGCGGCTATAATATAGTGGGATGCCGACATTTGGCTGGGCGGACGTGTCCCTTAACTATATGCCGAAGCTGCACCCGTATATCGGGCCGAGTACGGCAAGCCTCCTTCGGTCCAGTTACGGTGCCGATTAACTGTGTTTATTGGGTATTTCATAAAATTACTTTCCAACTTTTCACTATGCATATTTGACTAAATTTGTTATACAAGAGACATTTGATGAATTAAGAAGTAAAATTTAGAAAGCAATTTGAAAATTAATAATCTGCAAAGTTAACGATATTATTTCGTGAATTACAAGTATTTTGTTCTCGTAAATTTGCAAAGTAGTTTTATGAAATAAGCCCGGGTCCTTCCATTGGACTGGCAACATTGGTAGTGACCTAATTAAAAAACATTTCCTTGCGAAACTCAAGCAAAGATTGCATGTAACAATAAGCTGTAGTATAAGTTATCCCGACAGCACTGCAGCAAAAACAACAACTTGACTATGACTAAACAGAATCTGCGCAAAACAGGTGTGACATTCGGGTAAAAAAAAACTTTTTTATACAAAACGACAATATTTATTTACAACCACTTATTTTAATATGAAAATAACATATCTTAATTTGACTCATCGACGGTAGTACCAGCATCAGCTCCGTCTTCATTTTTCCCTTGACCACTCTCGGCTCTTTCTTCATTGACCGTACCTTCCTCGACCGCCCGTGCCGCTTCCCCTTCCCCTTCTTCGGCAGCCATCGGCATTATTTTAAGTTTCTGCCTATTGTTGTATACCGGCAACCTTTGTCGAATCATCGGCGGTATGAATGGGAAGCGAGGCGGGTAAATCACAGGACCCACCGGACGAATCCCTCTAGGATAAAAAGCCGGCGGATAGAATCTGGGCATCGGGAAACCCGGACGGATTCCGGGATGCAACCAGAATTCGGCGCCTGGGATGCCCTGCAAAGTTATACGTGCGTTACTAGATTATAGAAAGTGTATAAGAAATAAATACCTCGTAATAGCCGTAATCGATGTTGGGATCCCCGTATAGCGGTATATCAATCGCCGGAGGTGTCCTGCTCCTTCTGCGCCGTCTACCCCTTTCATACTCCCTCGACCTTGGACTGGGCGATATTTCCGGAGGCCGTGGTGATCTACTCCTTCGTCTGTACCGTCCCGGCGAACTGCTGGGCCTCCTGGATCTGCTGTCCCCTCGGCTTCTATCGGAAGTCGACGTTTGAATCTTTTGAGTTGTACTGTAAGAGAAATATTCGTTTACTGTCCCTTGGCATTAGACCACAGAAGCGAATGCATCTGATTACAAAGATAAATTATTATACCTATTTCTATCAGTGGTTTCTCGGTCAAACAGCTTCCTTTTCAAATCCGGATGATTTGGTCGATATTCTCCGGGCTTTAGCGGCGTTATCGATCTCCTTCGTTTTCCGTATCTATCGGCACTTCTACTTCCACCCGCTTCAGTGGTTATCGTTTTAGACGAGCTGCTCTTGTCCACCGTTCTACGTCCATCTCGGCTTCCCTCTCTACTGTCACGTCTAGTCTGATAGTCTTTTTTACGTGAACGCTCTCTACCCCGACTTCTACTTCTGTATCGTTCCCTACTCGTTCTACTAGGAGACCGTCGCCTATCCACGGTATTCCTTCGATCTACACTCCTATCTCTTACCGACGAAGCTTTATCCGCGCTTCTTCGTCTCGACGAGTCTCTATTTCTAGTCCTTCTAGGCGAGTAACCTCTATCCACGCTTCTGCGCTTTAAAGATTCTCTATCCACGCTTCTATCTCTACTTTCACGTCTACTGTATCTTCTTCTATCTGCGCTCGAACTTCTGTTCGTTCTTTCGCGGGAGTCTCGCCTATCAGCGGCATTTCTTCGATCCAAGCTCCTATCTCTTCTCGATGAAGCCCTATCGACGCTTCGTTGCCTGGAAGACCGTCTATCGAAACTCCTTCTCGTTCTATCGTATCGTTCCCGGTCGAAACTTCTATCTCTGCTTCTACGTCTCGCATATTTACTTTTGTATTTGGGCGAATAGCTTCGCCTATCAGTGCTTCCTCGATCTCTCGTTGTTCTTCTGTTCGAACTTATCGATCTGGTAGTCGATTTTCTTCTGGAACAATGCGCTGAGCACGGCGAATTCGATGGGCTGCTGGTACGAGACGGGCGTTCGCGGTCTTTGCGGATAGGTGAAAGTTCAATTTGATTGGCTAGTACATCGTCTCTGTCAAAAATGGACGTCCATCTTTGCGGTATGTGATCTGTAAAGGCACGTAAAAATACTAAATTGTAATTGATGGTTTTTAAATTTTAACATAATTAAACATAGATTTAAAGTGAAATTTATAGCATTAAATTATTGAATGTGATTAAGATTTTAGGTAAAAGCTTGTGTCTTCGATTTCTTCTTCGATGTTCTTTCTTCTTTTTTCGTGCTTCTTTCTTCGTTTGTTAATTTAGAATAATCAAAAATTGAAATTACAGCAATAGAAATTCGTCATTAATAGACAGTAGAAAAATGTCAGGAATGTGCACAAAGTTGATATATATATTGAAAGAACTCCTTTCAATTTACAAATTATGTAAATACATTTTTTTTAAAAAATATTGTATACTGATTATAGTGTTTAGGAGGTAAATTACAATACTTTTTACAAACTTCATTTTATATCCGACATCCGAGCTAACCTGTCTGATTCAACTTGTAGTGCATTGCCATATGATTTAAACTGCTATTCTCTTTAATTTTTTAACAAGCAATAAAATGCAACTTTCAAGGCATACAAATGCATCGTTGTATTAATGGGCGTGGCGTCTTTAATAGAGATCAGTGGCTGTATACAGTAACAAGTATATTATCTTCTCAACTCGTTTAATAATGAATCCGGAGTTACCCAGCGATAGCAACCCTTATGGGAAACGACATCAATTTTCGGAAGCAGAAAATAAAAAATGTATATGATGGTATTCGCGAACATTTTCTAGGTTATACAATAGATGAGGCGGCAAAATTTTGTGAGAAATTAACTGCAGTTAAAAAATTCGTAAGCAGAACGTAAAAAAATAATTTTATACGTTTGCAGGGTGTCAAAGTTGAAACAATTTTTTTTTGTAATAATTTCACGATTTTTGTTTGTTTAATAGGGGGTAATATTTTAATAATCACTAGATGACGTTCCTACAACGTGAGGTCAATGGAACGACCTGTCAAAACAATTTGCAGACTAATTAATAAATATTTTATTCGATAAACGGTGCTTAAACTCGTGGAGTGCTCCTATGACGAAAGAAAGAATTTATCTGCCACATAAACCCCATTTTCCCCCAATTTTCACGGTAAACAAAGTGCCAATGTAAAAAATTAAACTTGTCCGCCACTGTAAACATTTCTTCCTGTCCTGTTTCCTCCGAAAATCTAAGAATTGCATTCCATTACACATTTCTGACAACTTTTTACTGTCTATAATTAACGACCTCAACTATATCTAGGTCGTGACGTTACAAAGTAAGAGGGACTTAACGAATCTTTCCAACTTTCCAAATACATTCAAAATTTCCCATTTAACCACCAATAATTCAACATCAAACTGAAGTGATTTTACTCGAATATATTTTTCTTTTCTTACAATTTATCAAAAAAAAAATGCATTCAACAGTTTTAATGTTTGCGTGCCATTATATCTGAAAATACTAGCAAATATAAACAGAACGATAACATAAACTTAAAGTAGGTAATAATACCACCTTCTTCAGTACCAAAAATATTCAATTAAACAAGTCACCTCTGAAACACTCTTTGATCCGACTATGTTTTGTCATCGCCGGACGAGGTAGTCGTTAAGTTTGCGGGGCAAAACATCTAGAAACTGCCGAAAACGTTGCCGATTCCAATATGGTTGAGTCTAGGACGTCTGGTATCTTCGAGAAAATATCTGGCGCAATTTTGCCCTTTAAGTTCAGTATATGGTTGTCGATCGATTTGTTAAAATAAATTAGTATCTAAGTGTAGTTTTGAGTACAAATAAATTTAGTTTTTAAATTAATTTTAGTGAATAAAAATTAAAATAAATAAACAAGTTTTATTTTGATATTATTTATGAAAAGTATATTCAACACTCTATAAATATTTAATTCATTGTTCCTAATTTATAAAAGAACATGTAATTCAAAATGGAGGGCACAGCGTACTTTTTCATCACGGGAAACGCATGTGGTGTTGACTGGTGGACACGCAGTGACAGGAATGAAGCGGACGAGCAAGCTAGAGGCTAACGTCGTGATTTTTAACCAATGAGGAGTGGATGACGCTCATGACGTACTCATCTGTTAGATAATTTTCTTATCGGCTGAGATAATGCAGGCTACAGGGATGACTGTAGGGGTTTGGAAATTAGAAATGCTGAATGTTGTAATTGTTGTTTAATATATTAATACGCAGTAGATCACTTATATAACGTTTATTTAATAAAGACAATGAATATGCAAACAGCGTTCTAATTATTATTAATGCCAGAGACAACCATTCTTTATCATCTACATCAGAGACACAGGAACAACCTTCTTCGTCTCTTTTAACATCTGACATTTGACATTACATTTATCTTAGATCGTCAATAACTAGACTTGAACTTAATATAAGATAAAAGGAAAGCATTATATGAATAAAATGAATTTATAACAACACTGAATGTATATTGAATGTAACGTTGAATGTATATTGAAGTTGAATATTATTTATACAATATTTTGAATTTACTTTGGAAAGGTTCGTTAAACTCCAACCACCTGTAAAGTCAAACTTAGGTGTAGTCTATTTTTGAACTGGGTGCTTATTTTGTGATGTAATGTTTTAAATTAAAAAATGACTATTTGAAATATAATTTTTGCTTCGAGAAAAATTAAATTTTGAACTAAAAATGAGATAAAATAATATTTTGTGAAATAAAAAACTAATAATAAAAATCTTCGTATAAGAATCTTCTGATCTTCTCAAGTGTTCATGGAACTAAAATACCTGTATAAAATAAATGGTTAGGTAAAACAGAGTATAAAAACTATGTTGAAATAGTTTCACTGATTGTACAATAAAGTCATAAAAACATTTGTGGAATAATTATTAATTTTAAAAATCCCTTCCAAGAATTGTAAACTAAAGAAGGATTGCTTACTTCAATAAGAGCAATGTTAACTTATTTTATCAATCACCATTCGTTTCAGATAATTTGAATAGTTTTTCAAGGAAGTTTATGAAAATAAAAAAAAACAAGTCAAAATTATCGATTTTTGAATTTTTCGAATTCAAATCACTTCCTTGAAAAAAAAACAGTTAAAATAATAAATAAAAGTACACAATTTGATGTTTTTTGATTTTTGAAATTTGAAAGTCTGTTCTTTATAATATTTAAAAAAATGCTTTTTATTTCATATATCAAAAATTTAAATTTTTAAAAACTTTACCTTATTTATATATTTTTTTAGATTTAAAAGGTTACATTTTCAATATCAATTAATGAGTTCAATATCATGCAAAAAAGTTTGCAAAATGTGCCTAAAAATTACAGAAATATTTATGTGAAACATGGTATGAAAAACATCTATCTAGTCTTTCGATAAATAGTGAAGATTCTTCTAGAAGAAAGTCCGTTCGTATAAATAAATAAAAAAAAAAAAAATAAATAAGAATAATTGGGTCCTTCCATACACTTGACAGATGATAATCGCTAATATATTGTTGGATTTCGGAAAACCATCCCATAATTTTTTGTTAAATTTTGTCTTTTGGAAATGTTAGGATGTCGTTTTAAAAACAACTCATACCAATGCCTTCCGGGTTTTCCATCTGTAAATGGGGGTTTTCAGTTCAACTGCTTGATTAAGATTTCAAGCAAGGATTTTTTTGTTATAGCAAATCCACAATATGCAACATGGAACATTCAATTGATTAATAATGATTCCTCCTGTTGGTTTAGAATTGTCTCAGATCTGATTTTCCTTTCAATAGGTGCTCTACCTGCCAACTTATCCAATAGTGTCGTTCTAGGAACACCAAATTGTTTAAATGCTCTTAAAGCAGGCATTCCGCTTTTTACCGCTGCCACCACACTTTTCAGGTCATCATCAGAATATTGAAACCTTACTGACATTTTTCTCAGAACTTTTTTTCAGGAAGATACTGAAAATAACAATTAGCCAATTATCGACATATTCATGCCCTAATCATAAACAGTAATTAACAAATCCTGAAAAGAGCAATAAATAAAAATAAATGTATAGTTTATTTGATTGAGTTCATGGAAACACATTGTATCAATCAAAGCCTCGGCGGTAGCAGGTTGAATTCTAGTTGGAAAAACAACATTATCTTCAATTTCCCATTGGACATGTGGAAGACTGAAGTCACCACATATTATAAATTTATGATTTTTAACTTTGCTTTTTAGAAATTCGCATAAATCGCAAAAAAATAAATAGCTTTCTAATGACGAGTTTGGAGGAATATAAACACATCCAATTACCATGTCAGTTGTAACATGAGGTAAAGTTGCTATTAAAGTTCAATCTCCTCGGCTGCAATTGAGGAGGGCATAATTTCTGTCCTTCCTGAATAAAACATATCTATCGCCGAAAAATTCAGAACTATGAAAGTCTTCATTAAGCCAAGTTTTACTTAAAAGGATGTCATAGTTACAAGAATATATACTATTCAATTAACATTTTGGTAGTATATATATAGCAGTTTGGTCACCTCTGTTTGAGGTTGTGAATTCTTTAATACAATGGGGTTTTGGTATGTTGGATAGTCTTGGTTTAAGATATGTTCGATGGATTGAAAAAATTTTGTTGTTGTGTAATCGGTAAGTTAGTTTCTATTAGAGTACAACTAACAGGAAGAGTATTTTTTTTGAAGATTCTTTAAAGTAAAAATAATTAGTTTTATAAATTCTCGCTTTTGGTAAGTGGACATTAGATGATCATATGAAAAAACTTTCCAAGGTATAAAATGATAGAATTCAAAATTACAAAGCATAGATTGAATTTTAAGGTCAAATTGTTGGATGAATCTGTTAAAAATATTGCGATTAAATCTTTGTGGAGGAGGTCCGCAAATAAACAAATTGGTTCTGCAATTTTCCTGAAGTAAGGATTCAAGTGACTCTATACCTGTACCTGTTATCGACACCTATTTTTTAAGGAAAATACCTATAAAATAATGATATTTCTCATAAAAACAAATCGAATTCTATTATTAACTACCCTTACCACAGGAAATCAAATATAACACCAGGTTGTGGTAGCTAATCCCTACTCATTATATTTCTCTTTTAGAACCAGGGACATTTAGTTTGTTTATGAAAGTAAGTAGTTCATAGTCAGTCTTGTGTCTCAATCTGATAGCGCCCTTAATTATAGGTATTTTTTGAAAATATTTTTGCACATTTTAATGTACACATGCATTTTAATAACATCCTGTATTTGCAAAGACTTATATTATAAATCATTAAATCAACTTGAAAAAATTGTTTGTATTTTTAGGAAAATTTGAGGCAGACTTAACTCATTACTGGAAGAGTGCTTTTGAGTTCTCCCACTTAATCCATATGAGAGAGATAAATATGGCTACTAACTACAAAATGTCCCTTTCAAGTACAAAGACAATCATCCTGTAGAAGGGGTAAAGCTATATACTAAACTGACTGATAGCATGAAAAGCCTTATGCATGGTTGTGTTTAAAAGACATCTCAGAAAAATGTTTGTCTTTATTATTAATAAAGGATTTATTATTATAAGGAAGAATTTCATAAAGTCATGGGCACCTCTGATAGCTTAAGTTAAGTGGCATATTATTATCTTTAGTCTACAATTCTCATTGTGAGATTAAGAGTACTTATTACAGCAGGTTTGTTGTACATTATACATATATTACAAGATACAAAAATACATGTTCAAACATTAAAAATTGATGATGACTAAAATTACTCACCTAATACTGGTTATTCTAGGTGGATCCTCAGTTATGTTTCTTGATGTCCCACATGGTACTTCTCTAACGGCAGGGCAGTTACCAGATCATAATATAATGCTTTTACCTTTACCACAATTAGCTATAATTGTAAAAAGTTAGAAAAATATGTAAACAATTTATATTAACATACAAAATATCTGAAAAAGTAGGAAACAATTTAAAATTGTAACCTAAAAAACATGAAAATTTTATTTTAGCAAAATTACTTATATAGATGATTTTTTAAGTTATATTAAAATATATTTGTATGCCAGGCAAATGTTTCTTTGATGTTTTCTCTAAAAATAAAAATATTTACATTTTATTAAATACTAATTAGGATTTGGAAAAGGCCTTAACTCGGCATACACTAATTTTCTATTATTTCTTAATTAGTAGCCCACAGTAACCTAACATTTAACCACAATTATTTTAAACTGATAGAAAAAAAAAACAGATATTTTCTTACATTAAACAATCGCATTAAATGATTTTATTTTGCAAAACCTTTACCCTTCTTTATGTGTACCAACGGTAGAACAGCTCTAGGGTCATCTATCTCCCTTACTATATCAACTTTAAGTAGAGGCTGTGGATTTAGAATGTCTCTTCTTTTAATAGACACATTAATTTTTTTTAATTCTGATATCTTCACTTTTGCTAACACTCCGTAGGAGTGTCTGGAACTGCAAAAATACAATATGTTAATAAGCTATTAAATTATAATAAAACATAAAATGTTAGTGCTGTATCAAAAGTATTTGAAACACTACCTTGTTTAATTTAAATACAATAAATTTAACAGTTTTGCTGTAAACATTATAACATTTAAAGAGGTTGAGTGGTGTGTACACACTGGGTAATAAGAAACTGTGCATATTTTTTGTACCCCAACTTGCCTTTGCCTCACGGAAACAATTGGCAAAATCTTGCTGCCTTCATGTGGATACTAGCAGTTTCTTTTTCTCCGAAGTGTCTGGAGTGTTTTGTTCTACATGGTCGGATTAACCTCCACTTCATTTGTTAAAATTTTACCACATTTTACACTGGGTCAGTTACCGAATTTCAGTGTGGTTTTTCTATTTTCAATTATCTAAACTGCAAGCTATGGTGGAGACTTGGGACTGGTCTGTTGCTGTCCCTTATTAATTTAGTTTACTTTTCATGTGTCTTCTAAAGTTTCTTTTTTGACGAAGTCTTTGATGATGGCTTAAGAGGCCGAAAGCGCTCAGACGAATTGTTTATAGAGTGTTATTGAATAAAACTCAATATTACACACTTTAAATACTCTCTCGATTCATTTCTTATTATAACATTTATTTAGTAATTTGTACATTTATGGCGAGGGAATTAGAATTACACCAAATATATTGTAGCTAGGTAAGTAAAATAGCTTTGACTCACCGTGTAGAAGTACTCGAAGACATCGGGAATGTTTATTAATTATTAATTTTAAAGGAACCACAAAGTACAAACAAATTTAATTTTTAATTTACAACTCCCACATACTAATCTTATATTTTGGCAATACTGACAAGTGACGTTGACATTTGACATTTAATACGCTTATATGACATTTAAGGCGCGTTATGTTGAGTTCTAAAACTGGAATGTGAAATATAAAGTTTTTTGGTCAAAAATAATTTATTATTCGACTGTTCCGTTGAATTTCGGACGATTTGAAATGAATTTAAAGGCGGGTACAGATCTGAGCACGTACGCGTATGAGGCAAGCCGAGGCCGAACCGAATGCTTCGTGCGACTCATTTTGTATACACGAATGGTGGACGCACGAGGCGCTGTTCGCCACTGATCCAGTAAATTCGCGAGCACGCAACCGTATACAAAAATGAAGGATTAGGATGACGTCGCGAAGTTGGGTGCATGTTTTATTATTTTATCCGACAAATTAAAGAAAAAAAGAAGAGAAAGGAATCGATGGCCAATTTCCTTCCAAAGATATTCTTGTTTTATGGTGTTGTAATAGAACTGGCGTTTTAGTCTCTTAAGATATCACTTGATTATTTAAATTCAGGAGAAGCAAAATGTTTTCCTAGTTCCACTCCATGCAAAATAAATCCTAAAAACTCGCTATAATCTGTACGGTGCTGTATGGTACAAATTCCCCGTCCAGACTGAGCACGTACTGTGCATTGTCTCTCTTTGATGTACCGCCAACAAACTGATCGGGATAAGGCCGCACGGCGCACACAACGAGGCAATTTGCCGCGCCTCGGAAACCCGTCCACATCTACATGATCATGCGTCCTCGGCTTGCCTCATACGCGTACGTGCTCAGATCTGTACCCGTGTTAAGATGATCCAGAACAAGTTTTCATGTCAAGCAATAGTTTCCTTTGTTTTTTCTCCAGTCAAATTTTAGAATGTAATGGCCCAGTATAAAGAACAATACAGTAGCGACAGATTGCGTCGGCTTCTTTGATGTCGGGGTGGTCAGATTTTCAATGACAGTTGACGTTTTTGTCGCTTATTTCTACACGGAGAAAAGTAAACTATAAAATTGCAAATTAGCGATGTACACTTAGAAAAAAATTAAAACATGTACATATAACATTTTAATGTATTCTAGGCAAATAAATTAATCAAAATATTGTGTAACTTAAATAAATGAGTTCCGGTGAAAATCTAGATGTGCCAATTTTAAAATTTTATCATTAGATTAAAATAAATTACTTTTGTATGCCATTCATTGTATGAAATCCCAGCTAGCACATAACGTTGCCAAGCCTTTCGGCGATGTTGCATTAAGGGAACGTAATAACATTACTATACAACGTAAATGCAACGTTCATGAGAAGTTGTTGAGGGAAATCAAAACCTCGCAAAACTTCTATTTGTTATTTACCTAGTTAACCTACCGTAAACATTACAAATCTGAATTCAGAACGTTTAGTTTTATGTCAATTGTCACTTGTCAGTTTTTCTTGTCAATTGTCTTTTTTAATGGTTTATTTTTCGACATCCAGAATTTATTTTATAAATAATTATTATTTATACATTCGAATAGATTTGGTAAGGGTCCTCTATAAAATAGATAAATATTTTCTAAACCATTGTCTTTATTTCAGATTACAATGCCTGATGTAAATTTATTATTTCATTCATTAAGTATCTTTAGCAGTCGATGCCGATGACACCAAATAAAAAAAAACTACAATAAATACAAAGAATTGCAGATCAATCGTTGTAAACCAGAAGATAAACATTTAACCGAATGTCCGGCAACATTTTACACCAAATACTTATAAAAGGTAATTATACTTTATCGAACTAAAAATACATTTTAAAAATATTATTTTTTAGGTTTCCTTCGACATTCTAGGAATTTTAGAAGCAAAAGTAAATACTACAGAAGTGTAAAGAAGAATATAACACCTGAAGTTTTATAAAAAGTGAATCTATAGGTACATGATATGTCAGGTATATCAGAATTCAATCAGTTCATTTTCTTCAACAGGCTAGATTGCCTGGAAATGCAACCATCATTTCAAGTGAAAACCCAGCAGAAAAGTTGAAAGAAATCATAGATGATACTCTCAAGTATAATAGAATATCTTGCTAAAAAACACCAGTTGTTTTTTATAAAATCTACATATCGATGGCTCAATCAAATACTGCCACAACTAAAATACTATTATTTCGAGAAATTTCATTTTGAAATTTTGTAAGTCTCTATTATCATTATTTTGTTTTTGACATACTCTTTATATTTTATTTAAAAGCTTCGATATTTTGCTGTTAAATAAAATGATTACGATTATAAAAGTGAGTTGTTGCATAGTTGTAAAAAATTTGGGTGTTTTTGAAGAAAATAACTCGAATTGAGGCAGTTTTAGACACAGTTTGTGGCTACATTTTAAATGATTTATCTTTAAGGATATTTTTGTTTGTGGTGGTATTTAAAGTAAAACCGTAATGATATTTTGCATCCATTGAACCAAAAATGTAATTGCTTTGTTTTTTGACTTGTGGCGGTTTTTGATTGAGCCATCAATATATCTACTTTGGAAATCAAGCATAAAATTTGTAAAATTCAAACAAATTTCAATACACTAACATTACTTGTTTTATTTAAAACAACAAAGTAAGGCATATTTTTTAATTTCTATATAATTTCCTTTAATTAATAATAGGTAAACAAGTTATCAATTTCTTTTTTATTCAATGTATTGAGAAGTAAAATCTTTTTATATAAAAATATAATTTATGCTCTTCTAATAAATTGTCATATTTAGGTTACATTATAGCACTTTATAAATATCTATGCAAAAAAAGTTAAAAGGCTTGATTTAAAAAAGATATATCTCTGCATCTTAGGTAAGAAATCAGGGAACTTAGCTATCCTCTAGTAATCTAATATAATAATATGTACCTAGTCATTGTTGTATTCGTTTATTATTTTTCATCAATCTAGCTTTATCATCGTTCACCATTTAAGGTTTTAGTGAACCTTTGCAATATTGGTACCTTATTATACTATTTAGCTAATTTTGTCCAATCGTTCAGTGCTTTCTAGGTAGCTTCTTCTATCCCACATGTGTACTTGTGTTTGTGATATAAGGTGTGTTCTTTTATTCAATAATTGTTCCATCAGTGATTGATGTAATTTATCTATTCTGCAGTCATTTTATATTTGAACTCTTATATTTTAGGTTAACTTAAATGATTGATTATCCTCACCATTCGTCTATCACATATCCATCGGCTTTTAAAGCCGATGGATGCCTTGGCTCATTGGTGAATTCACCGCTGGAAAAAAGAATGATTGACACATACAATCGTCTTTCCATCACTTAATTTACGAACGGTTTGCTGCAAGCGCTGGATACAGCACTGAATAAAAGAACACACCTACACCTACCTCTACTTTTGTGCTATTAGTACTTGATTTCAAGAACATTTTAATAATAAATTTATATAAATATTTTGTTTTATTTGAAATTTTCATGTCTCGATTGAGATTTTACTATAGCCTCAATTTCAGCCTCTCTGTATTACATTACACAATGTGTGTCCACGGATGGACTTAATTATACTTGTAAAAATATTTATTTTAAATTAAAGAAAAAGTTGTTTTTCATAATTTCTCAATGTGAATCGAATTTATTAACAAGCAAGAAATTATGAAGAATTACTTTTTTAATTTAAAATAAATATTTTCACAAGTATAGTTAAGCCCATCCGTGGACACACTGTATAATGCTGTAGATCTAATTCACATTATAACATCAATAGAACGTTTCAGAGCAACTTTCGGGGTAAGTACCGTAAAAGTGCTAGTGTGATGTTTTTCGAACTTCACTTTGTAACTTCTGTGAGATGTGCTATAAAAGTCTTGCCGCTGCGGACATTCGGTAGTTGCAGGGATATAAGGGTTACATTTACAGTACATTGCATGCGAGCTTAAAGAGCCTAAAATTGCAGCTTATTAACGTAGATGGGATGTTTTTGTGCTAACTGGGATGTGTTAAACATTTTTTGGTTTCTTCCTGGAACTAATAAATTAACTCTGCACCTTATTTTTTTATTTAAAATGAGGTTATGTAGGTATCTTTTTAGAAGTGAAACAACATATAACAATAATATTTATTAAAACACACAATTACAAATTAGTAAGTTTTTAATGAATTTACAATACAAGAATTATTTTATTTAAATTTTTGTTCCTACGTACAAATTTTTGACTTCAGATGAGTTTTAGCAAATGCCTGTTGTAAGTCACCCGTTAAGCACAATGCTGCCCAATTGCTTATATTACCTATGTATATAATTAAATACTATTAACGTCACATCATAAAAATTAGATGTTTATATTTAACGATTTTATGGTTTAAAATTTGTATGGGAAAGGTTATCTGCTGCGGGATTTAAATATTTAATGGCTAGAAGAATCAACAGTGACTGTCTAGAAAAATTTGTTGGGTCTATTAGGCAACAGGGTGGGAATTTAATTAATCCAACACCTGTACAATTCGAAAGGGCATTTAAAAAACTTTTTTGTCAAAATTATCTTCATTGCAATTCCATGAATTGTAATGAAGACCTGGACAAACACTTGCTACAATTAGATGTAAAAAATATTGTCTCTCTGTATCCTGAAATAAATAAAAACACTCGAGAAGCTAATTACAGCTACAGGACAGAAGATATAATAGTTCAAAATCCATTTAAATATGTTTGTGGCTATTTGATCAAAAAAGCTTTAGGCATACATGGATGTATGTAATACATTTATTAAATTTTCAAAAGAATGTGAAGATTTGGATAGTTCACAGATTTTAACATATGATTGCAAAAAAACTCCAAATGAAAAGTTTATTATCTATATATTTAAATTATAAAAAAAATGTTATATCTATTTTTAGCAATACCTGTGTAATGTCTGGTATATCGCATAGCTTTTTTTGATATTATGAAAGAAATAGAATTTAATCATCCTTGTCCTAATTTCCCTAACGTATATAATACAACTATTTATAAGTTTATATATATTATTGTTTAAGTGCTTAAATATTGTATAAATGAAACAAATCAAAAATTAAAAAACAGTTAAAATAATAACACCACAAAATACATTTTTTTGTTTTATTTTTGCTACTTTACAAGAAATACATATATATTTTGATTAGATGTAGTCAATCAGAACATTTTTAATCAATGGACATAGTGAATCAAAGAACATCTAATTCATTATAATAATTTGGAGGTAGGATTTTTGATTAAGAATGTCCAAAGGTTGCACATGGTACGCTTTCAAAAATGTCTCGTTCATGTTCAATGATAGTCTCAACAGAGGAAGCACTTGGTCGATGTATTAGGGAGAAGATAGACATTTGGCTGATGACCTAGATGGATAAAAAATGTGGGAACAGCAGTAGGCAATAACCGTTTACAGTTCAACGTTTTAGAAAAACAATTCTTCTCAAAATGTTTCTCACACAACCTGTAATTCCGATGAAGACTGTTCACATCTATGTTACTCAAATCTTCCCTATTACAAGCTCTTAACCACATGTTGGCCCTAAAATATAAAAAAAGTTGATAACAAATGTTTAGATTGACGGTAGTTCAGAAATTATATATTTTTTACATTATTTTTGTTGAAATTGTAAAAATTGTCCTCCAGACATTTAAATAATAAATATTTGGTTGTCAAATAAATATTTGGTTTTCAAATATAAAAATTGAAAGTATTTTCTTAAGACATACCTTTCTGGCTCCATGGGAAATGCAAAATAACTTGTCCCTTTGTCTGTTTACTCTGTTTGAGATGGACAAGGGCGATAGACACATCTCTTTCTTTTCTGATCAGGTGCAGAAGCCATTTCAAAAATATCACACAATAAATGAAAAACTAAAATAATAAAAATGTCTCAAAATATGCACTGCAAACAAACAAAAATAATGACATATTTACATTATTTACATTTACATCGCATTGACACTATTGACGTTGACGTTTTTGTCGCTTATTTTCGGACATGCGCAGAAAAATATGGACCCCTCATAAAAAATGATCTGTCGCTACTGTATTGGTATATATACTGGGGTAATGGTATCAATATCATATAATTATATAGATTGCATTGCCTACTTATTTAAATCCTTAAAGCAGCGTTACTCAAAGTGTGGTCCGCGGAGCCCCAGGGCTCCGCAAAGCCTTTGTGGGGGCCCGCGAAGAAAAATAGTCATAATAAAAAAAGTAGTACTATCGCTACAAAAGGGAGGGACTTGGCTTGCGGATCTTTTTTTATTGGAGGACAGGGCTGCCAGAATGAAAATGGCAAATCGTACTAAAAAATTTTTTAAAACGTACTGAATCTCAAAAAACCGTACTGAATAATCAGTTGTTAAAAAAGTACTAGATTTTATGAAAACGTACTAAAACATAAATCAAAAAACACCATAAAAGGGCGGGAAATTTAAATTAACCTATAAAACAGCTTTTATTGAAACATTTACAAAAATGTTATCATATAGAAACAAACAGGTACATAGGTAAAGCGAAAGCAAAATAAAAATAATTTTCTTGTGTTTTCTCACACTTGTTAAAACTATATAACAAAAAAAATTATAAAATTTAAATAAAATAAAGAGTAATGCTTATGAGTAAAAAAATAAAAAACAACACTCAAAATAAATGCTAATATCATACTAAGTGTAAAGGAACAAAATAAAATTCTTAAACTTAAATATTTGAATCATGTCCTGCAGATGCCATACATTTTGGAAGATGGTCCATGATTAAAAATGGTAGATTATGTTCTGCCAAGAACATAATCATTTTTAATACTGCTCTTTTTGTGTCTACAGATATTGTTGGTTTGGATTCCGAGGAGAGAAAATTCATCAATTGTGGGGTTGACTGAGCTATTTTTACTTTGGATAAATGTCGCTTTGTTTTTTCATGCCTCTTTAAGTGAACTATGCCACCGGAAATATTTCTTTTACAAATCTTACAGTGAGCTACGCCATTGTTTGACCGGATCCAAGAAAACGATTCTTGCCATTTGCAATTAAATTTAGCCTTATAGAGTTTTCTTTTCTTATGCACTATTTGATGGTTCTCAGTGTTATCACCATCCTCCTCCTCCTCCTCATCTTCAAATTGAGAATCTATCTCAACCTGAATATTTTCAGCATTAAAATCAATATTTATTTGATTTTCCTCTTGGGAATCTTTAATTTGATGAATAAGAAACCTTCAAAATTAAAACAATCATATTTATAAACATTATTTAATCTGCAAAGAAAACTTATTACTTATCCATTTTCCTCTCCAAATTCCGAAAATTGCATCCAATAAACTTACAACAAATTTAAAAAATTAGTAATTAGTTGTAAAATAACTGTCAACAGTGTCAACCACTAATGAAATATGTCATTTATCTTCTTTTTTTTTTTTAATACTTAATAGTACTGAAAATTGTACTGAATTGACAAATTTCAACGAAAACGTACTAAAACTAAAAACGTAACACTGACGTACTGAAAAAGTTGAAAAAGTACTGAATTCAGTACAAAAGTACTGAATCTGGCAGCCCTGTTGGAGGACCTTTTTTTTAAACATACTAAGAGGAAGGACGATATGATTTAGCTCGGAGGACCTTTTTTTAGAAGTCACTAAGAGAGGAAGGAGGATATGATTTTGTTCGAAAGACCCTTTTTTTAGAAGACACCAAGAGGAAGAAGGATATGATTTGTTCGGGGGACTTTTTTTTAGAAGTCACCAAGTGGAAGGAGGATATGATGTTATGTTCGTTTAGGATTGAAAAATTTTTTTTATTGTGTATATAGGTTTTGAAAGTGTATGCTTTAAAACACAAATCTATCCATTAGAGGTAATGCAAAGAAGATTTTTTTAAATAATATTATCTTAAAGAAACAGCAGTTAGCGTAGATGAATGGAAGTTTATCAAATTTTAAACAATTTTTTATCTTCTAAAGAGAGTTAAAGATTGAAGTTCCCTGTCTTGCATATTTTTGTCCCTACAAATAAAATGTACATAAAATGTATTCTGCAGATTTATTAATGATATACACTTAATTAAATTTCAAAAGTTCCAAAGGCTTTTATTACCTGCACGTGTTTGGTTTTTAAAAATATAAGAGCTAATCATACCTTTTCATAATTATTAATGATAAATATGATAAACTTATAAAAATTGTCCATAAAGTAAATGCGGCCAAAAATGTGACACTTTAAAGCGACCAAAAAATAAATGCGGCTAAAAAATTGACACTTTAGGGATGTTAAGACCCAACTCAACTTTTTTCTTAGGTTTGAAAATCGATTTTTCATTCGACGTAATACGTAATACAACAAATACGTAACACCACGTAACACGATCAGTTTAACAAAACGTATGACTCAAATTAACACGGTTTTCTGAAATAATTAGTGCCTTTTGCGTTTTAGCTTTTAAATACTATAAAAAATTATGAAAAGTCCAAAACTTTTAAATATTTGTTAAATATTACTTATTAAAATATTATGCATTCAAAATAAAACGAACTATAGTCTTTCCATCATTCTATACTATAATCTGAACCCATTTTTAAAAATATTATCGTTCAGAGTTGTATTTTTTGGGATAAAAAAAGTCGCCGTTACTTGTCATTGATAACGCGTTGAACTTGGATTTAATAAATCCGTAAAATGTAATTTTTTGTGACAGTCACCTAAACAAATTTTTTCAGGATACCTAACATAATATTGTATTAGAGAAATTTTTTTCTTCTAAATCTTTAAATACTGAAATTTTATTTTAAAACACATTGGGCCAGACCGATTCTGTTCAGACATGTAGGTGAGCAATCTATATAACTCTACATATATCATTGAAATAGTAGGAAATTTTCGAATACAATAGTTGGCTAACGTGTTTTACCTGAAATGACATTGACAAAAATTGTCAAGAAAGCTGTCAGTGCTGGCTGACAGTACTCGGTAGGTAGTCGTGTTTTGTATAAAACTTGCAGTATTAATTTTTATTTTGTGAAAACATGGCAAATTTAAGACAAACTCCATTAACGTGTAGCGGACACACAAGACCCGTCGTCCATTTAGATTTCAGTGAAGTTACAGATAGTGGATATTATTTAATATCAGCATGCAAAGGTAAGTCAAGAGATTAATACGATTGCTAACCTTCAATGTTTACAAGTAATAAGTAATGCACCTTGGCCTAATTAAAATAGTTTGCATGCAGCAAGTTGTCTGACCTGAAACCAAACCTTAAAAGCGAGTATAGAAGGTCAGCTTCAATATTCTTCCTGTTTTTTTGAATGCATTATTTGTGCAAAATTAAATATAAACACGTAAACATTGATAAGATATTCGAGATTAATTGAGATTAATTCAAATTTACAAACGCATTAAATAAATGTAATTTATCAAATTTATAAAATCAGACACTTGTTTGTTACACAAATTACAGTTTTGTCATTAATAAATTTAGGTGGTCCCAAATGAGAGCCCCTGTATAGCACCATCCGATTTTGCATCAATTCTATTAATATTAATACAGTGCTTTTCATAGGATATGAGCATATATTTTAAAGTAGATGAAAACTTAATACACTCTCGAGTACAAAATTCTGCCACTCTAAAATTTTGACCAAGTTTGATGTTTATACCATATTTATGAATTTTCTACTAGTTTGTAGATAAATTTATTGTGATTTTTTTAAATTATTGTAATAAGTAACATTTTTCGTTTAGGCGATATTTTAGAGGGGTAAATCAAAATGTTGTTTTCTGTCGCAACTTCAAAACACCTTGTAGTAAAATTGAGGTGGATAATTTTGTTTACATATGGTTTGCTGTAATCTCAGGTGTATTCCAAACATTTTGTTTTTTGATTCATCTCATTTCTTCTGTAAGCTGCATTTTTTTGAATAAAAATGCCTGTTAATTTTAATAAATTTGTGAAAAATGGATTTCAAGTTATTATTTAAAAATTATCGAAGTTGGCTAAGTACTGAATTATTGTGACAAAATGTTTGATATTGTCAGTTCCTTATTAGAATTTGTTATGTTGTTATAGTGGTATTAATTACAGCAGACTTGGGTCGAATTGTTGCTCTAATGCCTGTACTGGGAATTCTGCAGTCTACAATTCGAGATGCTTGCAACAGGTATTAGTAGACCTTACTAGACAGCAAGGGTCTGGCAGAAGGAGAATGACCACTGTAACTGATGATCACTTTGTGAAATCATATTCACAATAAATACCCAATTTAAAAGCTATATGTCTGAGAAAGTTATTTTGAACATTGTCTATTTGCCTATTATGTGTTACATAGTGTGGAGACCAAACGGAAGAGCAATAGTCTAGGTGGGGTCTTAACTAGTGAATAATAAAGAACTTTAATTGCAATTGTGTCTGTAAAATCATGGGTCAACCTTTAGATAAAACCCAATATTTTCATGGATTTGTGGACAGTAGCAGATACGTGTTAATTAAAGCTTAAAATGGGATCAAGAATAATTCCAAGGTCTTTAATTTGCTAAACACAGTCTAAGATATGCCCATTTAAGTTATAGTCAAATGTAGTTGGAAGTATGTGAGAATGATAAAATGCATGACATGGCATTTATTGGTATTCAAGTTCATGCCATTTAAAGAACACCATTTGGATAAATAATCGAGGTCAGACTGAAGTCTAGGGACATCTTCATGGGTTTTAACAATTTAGAAAAATTTTAAGTCATCTGCAAATAAAGCTTTGATGTTACGGAAATAATAAATTATCGTCCAGTTTCTATTTAAAGTGTTTTTTCTAAATTATTTGAAAGAATACCTTATAATAGAATGATAAATTAATTTAATTTTATATCCCCATACCAACATAGATTTCGTAAGGCCATTCTACACAATCTGCTACCTGCATCTTACTGGAGCATGTTTATACCTTTTAAGATGCAGGAAAGCACATGCCAGGCATATTTGTTGACTTGTCTCATGCTTTCGACTGTTTAAATTTTAAATTTCTAGTAAATAAACTGTTTAACATCAGCTTCAAAGGGATATTCTTGGATTAGCTGATAACTTCCTTAAATATAGGAAAATGTACATCAATATTAATGTTAACTGTGTTTTACATGATTAGAACATAGATATTCCTCAAGGGTCTGTGCTAGGACCATTCATTTTTTCCTTTATGTCAATGATCTATATGCTCATATTAATTCAAATGTTTTGTTCATGACAAATCCTTGGTGGATCCAGCAAACACCTTTGAGGAACTAATGTTGAAGTCAACTAAAGCAGTATCTTCATTAATAAAATGGTGTAAATGACTTAATTGTAAATATTAAGAAAACTGAATGCATTTATTTTCGTACTCTTAATAATGCAAAGGAGAATCTTTTAGTCCTAAAATATGATTCAATCAATATTGTTGCTAACCATATCTATTATGTAGGACCAAGGGTGTATAATTGCTTACCACAGGAGTTTAAAAATAAGCCTTATTTAATTATTAAAAATAGGATTAATCAATGGATGAATGAATTTTTATGTTACAATAAATGTGATTTTTAACCTATTACATTACTTTTCTTCACCAATATTTGCACTGTAATATTAATATTTGTCTATCATTGATAATTATATAGACATGTCAGTTTTGTCTTCTTTCTTACTTGTTTTCTCTATTTAGATTATATTTAGCTCATTTTGCAAGTAATATTACCTATTGCCAGTTATAATTAAACAAACTCATTAATAAGAAATTAATAATTGTCAGTAATTGAGCACACACACAGCATACTTAAATTTGACATTATGCGCTACCCAAATATCTTTTATTTGTTTCTCATGAAGAATTTTTTTTTTTATTTCAGATTCGACATAACACAATTTTTACATGATAATATATTATTTGAACAATCACTTTTTTGGTGCTCTTCAGAACAATTTATTTGAACATACAATTTTATGGGTGCAGTTTTCCTTCTTATGAAAATATCCTTGACAGTTGTAACACTTGGGTATAGTTAGATCTTCAAAACGCTATTCCTTTCCCATCCAATACAGATTTTTTCATATTCATGATTTGGTGAAATACTATAGGTGAACATTCACAGAAAATTGTTTTAGTGTTGTCTCTAGTTTTCCTTTTGATATATGTGACTTTGATATCTCCTATATTGTTTTGTTCTTTTATTGAATTTTCAATTTCCAAGTTTGACATATTTTGTGTGAAATTTACTATTGTTATTCTAGGTAGCTTCATTTTTGTAAATTCTATTTCATAGTTTTTTATTTTTTTTATAGGTACTATCGGCTATTTTATCAGTATTTTTAAAAAAGAACCAGTTTATTTTGGCAAGATAATTAAATGTATCCATTGAACTGGCTTTTTTTTAGTATAAGTTAGAACATACTATATTTTTTTATGTAATTTAAACAGATGGCAAGCCAATGCTCCGACAGGGCGACACCGGCGACTGGATAGGCACGTTCGAGGGCCACAAAGGGGCCGTTTGGGGCGTGGCTCTGAACGCCGATGCCACTCGAGCTGCCAGCGGAGCGGCGGATTTCACTGGGAAAGTATGGGACGCCATTTCCGGCGAAGAATTGCATTCCTTTCAACACAATCACATTGTCAAGAGCGTGGATTTTTCGCGTGACTCCAATCTAATGGTAACGGGAAGCAACGAAAAACTTGTGCGCATTTTTGATCTCAACAAGACGGAAGCTAGTAGGTTGATATTGTTGTTAGTAATTGGTTGCTTATTAATGTGAATTTTGGTTTTATTCAGGTCCAGAGGTATTCAGTGGACATACTGCTGGCATAAGACGTGTGATGTTTTTTAGAAACGACACCCATTTGGTCTCGTGCGCCGATGATAAAACTCTTAGAGTTTGGAATAGGTCCACGGGACAGGAAATCCAAAAGGTCGAGTTCAATTCGACACCCAACAGCTTGGAAGTATCGAAAGACGGCAGCGTGCTAACGGTGACTTACTCGAACCACGTGATCTTCCTCGATTCGGAGACGCTGAACAAGATTCGAGAATTCTCCATACCCAGCACCGTCAATTCCGCTTCGTTGCATCCCGACAAGACCATCTTCGTGGCCGGCGGCGATGATTTGAAGGTTTACAAGTTCGACTACACTACTGGCACAGAGATTGAATCGTTCAAAGGTCATTTCGGACCAGGTATGTACAAGATTGATTATTTTATTTGCTCAATGATGATAATAATATTGCATACTGCATGTTTTCTGGGGTGCTGAATCCATATCTAAGGTTTGCTAACAAAATTTTGATGTGTCAAGCACATGAATTTACTGCCTAGTTATTATAGCTATTTTCCGGGTATTTTGTCCTCCTGTAATTGTTTAGAGGATGAACTAAATATATAAATTTTCCACACACATCTTACTCGAAACATTTTTTTATATATATTCATTGCTAACAAAATAATGAAAAATTTAAATTTTTTGCTTTTCCTCATATTTTTCCATTACGGTCCATTTTATGATTTTTCTCTTTATCCGTTTTCACATTTTCTTAAATATCTGGAATACAGTCCATTTTAGAGAAATTACGTATACAGGGTGTTTCATAATATATGCGCAGGACTTCAGGACTTGATAGCTCGTCCAAAAATATGAAAAAAACGTTTCTATTAACTTACCCTCTAAAATGCACCATTTTCGAGATACAGGGTGTTGAAATTGAAAAAAAAAAAATTCTACGCCACTGGAAAAAGTACGGTTTTGAGAAAAATCAAATTTTAATGTTGAAATACATGGTCATACATACTTGATGAAACAAAATTTGATTTTTCTCGAAAACGGTCGACTTTAGAGCGTATGACCAAGAGTACCTTTTTTGTGTAGAAAACATTGGCAGTTCAAATGTAATTTTCTTGTATTTCTGCGGCTTTTGTCTTGGTGACGCCTTTTCTTATTTCTGCACATTTTTTAACAGCCTTTCTTTGTTCTATATATTTTTTTCCGTCTGTATCGTTCCCTGTTTGTAGGTATTTTTCTGTCAGTTTGTGTTTTTTTTTTTAATTTCTTCATCACATTCGTTATCTAACCATTCCTTTCTTTTCTACGTTTTTTTCTTATTAATATTTTTCTCAGTCGATGTTTTTATGGAATTCTCTATGTTATTCCATTTCTCTTCTACTATGTTGGCCATGTTTAAAACTGGTGTATTGTCTAGACTTCTTCCTATGTCTGCTTTATATCTCCTTGATACCTCGTTTACTTGTAATTCTTCCATGTTATATTTTGTGTTTATATTTCTATAGATGTTTTGTTTTACCTTTTTTCGTTCTGTTAGAATTATGTTAGCAATAACTAGAAAGTGATCGGAGTTTGCATCCGCCTCTGTATGATCTAACATGTTTTACTAAGTTTGCGTTCCCTTCCTCAATGAGAAAGTGGTCTATTTGATTTGTCTTTGTAGTACCTGGTATGATCCATGTTCCTTTGTGAATATCTTTCCTTTTGAAATTTGTGCTCATGATTTTCATATCTTTTTCTATGGCTAAATTTATTAATCTTATACCGTTATTATTGCTTATATCGTGTTTGCTTTCACCTCCCGTTATATTTTTGTAAATTTCTTCTTTGCCTACTTTTGCGTTTGCAAGAATTATTTTCAGATGACTTTTGGGAATTTTATCATATACTCTCTCTAGTTCTTCGTAGAATTCATCCTTTGTTTCCTCATCCTTTTCTTCTGTTGGCGCGTGGAAGTTATTGTTATATTTTGTATTCCGCTTTTTATTTGTATTTTACATAATTTTTCTGTTACGGCTTTAAAATTTACTACCGATGACTTTATATTTCTGTGTACTAAGAAACCCATTCCAAATCTACGGCTTTGATTTCCAATTGTGAACATTATATAATCTTGTATCTCCGATGTATTGTTCCCGGTTAAATGGGTTTCTTGCATTGCTAGAATATCTATCTGATATTTCTTTGTTTCTCTTGCTCGATTTTTTTATTGCTCCTTCTTTGTAAATTCCCTGCAAGTTCCATGTTTCTATTTTCATAATATGAGTGTCTAAATTATTGACCTCGCCCTGTGTTGCCATTTTGTACGGTTTATTTGCTTGGAGTATAATAAAATATGTTTTTTTCCCTGTAGTTCGTTGCTTTGATCATCATGTTTTGTGTTTCTTACTGTACCGTTATTTATTTTCTGCTCATTTCCTTGTCCATTGCCGTTTCCGTCATCGTTTTCTTTAATCTCATCTTTATTTATTGGTTTTTTGTGTTAGATCATGTTATTTTCCTTACTTGTTCATCAAATCTGTTTTGCTCCGGTGATCTTTCGTTTACAGTCCTTTTTTGACTGCTGCTTCCATCGCCTCCTTCTTTTGTTCCTTCCTCGTTTTGATCGGTGTCTTTCTCCCTGTACAACTCGTCGTTTATTATTAATTTATTATATCTTAATTGTGCTTTGTGACCTTTATTTCTAGCTTCTTTCATTTTTATTATTAGCTTCCTCCTTTCTTCTTGGACTTCTTTTGGGTAGTCTTCATCAATCCATATGTTTGTGCCCTTCAGGCTTCTGGTTTTCTGCAAAATCATTGTTCTTGTGCTTTCCCTGTTTAGTTTCACAATTATTGGTCTTTTCCTTTCAATGTTGTACTTGCCCATCCTTCGTACTTCATCTATATCTTCTTTTACTGCGATTTACTCCCATCTCTTGTAAAATTATGCATATTTTATCCTTTGTTTCCTTCTCATTTTCCTGTTCTTCATCTTCTATTTCTTTAATGGATAATATTCTTTTTCCTTATTTCCCTCTCTAGATTGATTATTCTTTCTTCCTGATATGTCACTTTTTCTTTTAGTTTTCTGTTTTCCCTCTCGCATTTTCTTGTTGTCTGCTACTACCATATCTAATTTTACGTTAATTTCCTTCATATTTTCTTCTATCAGTTGGAATATCTTTTCTATTTTTCCTGTCACTCATCTTGGTGCCTGCTATTGATTGCGCAAAAAGATATACCCCAGTCTTCCCGTCGGAAGTACACCTTTTATCAATCTTCAGTTTTGTGTAATTTCTTGATCTTTTTTTTAAATCTGGCAACACCGCTTTGCAATCTAGCACAGCTTTGTTTTTAGCAATTGCCTTTTCGTTTGGATTTGACCTTTGAAATCACTCACACTTATTGTTTATATTGCTCTTTATCGCTATTTCTATGTTTTTAAATCCGATTTTTCACTTAACGTTGGGTTAAACACTCTAACTTCACTGTGGGTTGCTTAAATGTAATTAATTTTCTCTGTATCGCCTAATTTTTGAGTTAGATGCGGGAGAAAAATCAAATACGTATTTACAACTTAACACAACGTTATCAAATACAAACCTTTTTTTCTTTCTATTGTTTGGACCATCTTTAATGCACGAATTCTGTTACAGTTCACTGTGTTAAATTTTCGCCTGACGGCGAATTGTACGCGTCCGGCTCCGAAGACGGTACTTTGAGGTTATGGCAGACGACCATCGGAAAAACGTACGGTCTATGGAAATGCGTGGACGTCCAGGCTAACAGCGATCCCCTGTCGCCGCCTAAAGAAGTCCCCGCCAATTAATTTCTTCGAAGACAATCAGAACGGATCCGAAAACAAATTATTTCGTATTAATAGGTGTTTTATATACGTTGATGGCATTGTAACTCTTTTTGGCCAATGCCACCATTTTCTCCATCGGAATTAGTGATGACGTAATTTATGTTCCAATGACAGTGTCAGTAGAGGTTATAGGTATTCATTTAAACTACTTTTTTCGACCTGGAATGTCAAATTGTTTTTGTTATAATTTAACTGTCAGCGGAACATAAATTACGTCATATTAATAAAGCGAGTTGGTAACACTCTGACAGTGACAGCTAAATGCTTGAAACGCCTACTAGTTCGAAGTACATTTTGCAATTGTAATATATAACGTCGATTATACGATAACCTGCATTTTGATCGCTAAATTGTTTATTTTTAAAATCTGTTAATTTTAAAAAAATGTATTAGTTTTTTTTTTTTCAATTATGAAATACCTAAATATATAAATTTTATCATCAATATGCGAGGGTTATTTTAAATAAATTATTTTTTATTTGTCCATTGGTTTTTATTGTTTCCAGCCTTTAAATTCATTACCTGTACAATATAACAAGTGGAAATTATTGGGATGCAATTCTATTGTATGAAATCCGTAGTTATTTCATATATAATCGATTGAACGCCATTTTTTTGGTGCCATAAACTTTTTTTTACGAAAAGTTTCTTAAAGACAAAATTACAATGGTAATGTGTTCAGCTTATGGTTGTAAAAGCCGAAATGAAAAAGAGAGATGGAATTATATTTTACAGGTAAAATATTGTTACCCTGGTTTTTGGTAAACTCAACTTTTACAATATAAAACTATTAGATTAACCAAAAAAAATGAACCGTGTCGTCAGGATAATCGACCTTTACAGCTCCCTGAACCTTCTCGACATTTCTAAACTGTTCTCTCTTCTTATTTTATTCGTACTTTTACTTATGACGACCACAGCATACTGTAAGGTGATAGGTGACATGCACATCTTCTTTTATTCATACATTTCCTATTCGCTCCGTGCGCGACAGCAGCGCCAATTCGTTTTGGTACTAATGGACTATTTCTGCTTATACTGACAAATGCAATTTTTTTTGAATTCGTAATTAAGAAGTATATATGTTAGTTTTAATAAAAGTATATGGATTTTAAAACAAGTAAAACAATAATTTATTATTATTATATATTTTTATCGCTTAAATTAAAGAAAATTATGTATAATCAATAAAAATCAATAAGAAAATATAGGCAGGCAACAGTATTTACTGGAAAATGTATGAGAAGTTGCCTAAGTTTAATAAGTTGTCATTAAAGAGTTAGGCTATTCTGTCAAAATCTCAAAGGTTAAAATTAAAAAAAAAACATTTAATAATAGAGAGTTATCGCAAGTTCAGTTAAGATCCGTCACTATTAGTGCCGCTCTTATTTTGACATCTGAGCATGCGCAGATCACTAAGTTTAATAAAGATTGTGCCTGTCCTTATAATAGAGTTATTGCAAGTTCACTTAAGGTCAGTCACTATTAGTGGTGCTCTTATTTTGACATCTAAGCATGCGCATATGTTTATGTTCTAAAACTGACTTTATTAAGGATTGTGCCTGTCCTTAATTGTGGATGTTTAAGGGCAGCAGGTAGTGGCGACCATGGCGACTTTATAGCTTTCGGATGCGCTCGGCGACATTCGTATCCGTTAGAAGTTTTTTATTATTAAATATTTAATATAATCGTCATTTAAACCTTATAAGGTTAGAAATAAGTACAAGGACGAGGATTCTAATGTCAAAATTTCAGGTTTGCAATACGTCTGATTTTAGCATGGAATTTATTTGACTCTAATTACGAAGTCACTGTTAGTGGCTGAATTTACAGAAATTTGCAATATCTCTCTATTAAGGACAGGCACAATCTTTATTAAAGTTAGTGATCTGCGCATGCTCAGATGTCAAAATAAGAGCGGCACTAATAGTGACTGAACTTAAGTGAACTTGCAATAACTCTCTAATATCAGCGTGAAGTTAAAATGTATAAAAAAAAGATCGTTATTTATATTTTCATTTTTGTTCGAACGAAAACATAGAATGAATGATTAAAACTGGTTTCCCATCAGTAAGACACAAAATTGCATTTCAGCCACATTAATAATCAAAGGCAGAAATCGTGAAATCTAGTCCTTGCTGAATGAACATTTAAGAATAAAGGGATATTAAAGAACATCGTAAAATGATAATTTATTGTTTATTTAAAACATTTTAAGTTTCTGATGTCTACTATTTCCAGCATTACTGTTATTATTACAAAAATGAAGGTAATTTTTCTTCTTATTGTAAACCTATCCATTTATTTCTTTGATTTAATTTCTACTTTGCTGCTGAAATTTTTTGTATAAGTTTCACTGTTGTTTTTTCCTAGTATTTGTACAATTTTCAACACAGCAACTCCGATTGCTTATTGTATTGTTTTTACTTAGTTTTTTGAAAAAAAGTAAAATGTATACGTGTATATGCCAAAATTACAAAATATCGCCCTAAAATGCACGAATTATCCGCAGCTAGCGCTAGTATCGCTTTTGCTTCCCTTTCCATGACTTCGCACGGAGCGAATAACAGCCACAGGCTACTGCAGGGTAACAATATATTATACAAGTAAATAACACTGTTAAAATTAGAAATATTTTTAAAACTATTTCAACTGAATCATAAGTTTGATCATTATATAATCTAAAGAATAATTTATCAAAATTGGAGGGTAAACAGTTGATATTTTCGTTCATTAATACTTTGAGAATGTCGAATATATTATTTATGAAGCATTGAATGACTGTATCTGCTCTCCATAATTGGTCTGAAAAACTGTATATCTCTCAATATTTCTAAATGTTACACAATTACATTTGGTAGGGTGCACAAAAAAATAATCTTTGATTATTGTATTTGCGATACATTCCTCAATAGAGTAACTGAGATAAAAGACTAAGGTCTATTTGCACCTCTAGCCGTTAAGAAAAAAGACAAGCTTAAATTGACATTTTTCTTAAGAATGTCATTTTAAACTTAGCTTATTTATTAATGAGTAGCGGTGCAAATGGCCCTTGGGAGTGCTTGTCAATGAAAATCTGACATTTAACCTACATATTAATCAGATCACTGTTAAAGCTTTAAAAACTCTTGGATTTATACTGAGAAACTGTAGTGGTCTCTCAATAAATTCAGTCAAAGTAGTATATTTGGCATAATATGTCCGATCCCTGGGTTGCCATTTGGGCACCTTTTTACAATGTCCATATTTTGTATAGTGAACCTGTTCGGAATAAGTTTTTAAGATATTGTGGTTACAAATTGGGATTAAGACATGGGGAATATGAGTATAAGGATATCGAATTTAAAATCGCTGAAATTTCGTAAATTAATCGTTGACCTTGTTGTATTATCCTAACTGAATGTGTAGCACTCCAGAATCCAAGGGCACTATATCTAGGAGGATATCAAATAGAAGAGGGAGATTTACCTAACTTGAAGCCACTTCAAATTCTACACTTCCTTGAGAAAATAGGATTGGAAGGGTCGCTGTAGGCATTGAGACATTTCCTTAGTGCAGTGGCGACAGAAGGGGGCACAATAGATCTTTTAGGTCGCAGTGTATTAACACCCCATTCTCAACATAACATAATTTAAATTGATTTCGGATTTAACTAATTGCAGCAAGATGCTTCAACTTATTCAGTTCCGTATTCCTCAAAGGTGTAGGAGAAACAATGACTTATTGTGCCCTTTCATTCAACAAATTATAGCTATTTTAGTCCTTTGTCAAGAATGGTCAGAAAGGCTAACGAGTTAGACTCAATAGGTTTGTAATATTATAGTATGTAAATATGTGTATTACCATAGTAACTATTTGGCTAAACATTATATTTTTTTATTGTATTGTATATTTTTTTTTTTCTATAAATATTTCTTGTATAATAAATAAGTTAAAAACAACACGACCACTTGTTTTACTAGTCTAAGAAATTAGTACTTTAATGAAAGCTTTTATAATATATTCTATTCCTTCTTAAGTTATAACTAAAATGATCACGAACTAATAGATTTTAAATTATTTATTAAAATTGTAAAAGCATAAATTCTGCCATTGGTGCTGTTTTCTATTTTTAAATACTGTTTTATTATTGTGAAAACAGCAATCCAGGATTCTTCCACAAATGAAGTTTTATATAAATTTTTGGAAATTTCCGTGAAACAGGTACGTTTTGACGTTAGTGGTTTACCCCTCTCCCTTAGACTGTCAAGTATTCAAAACTTTGAATTGCAATGGCTTCATTCTCTTGAAAGTATCTTACCACTTTGTTATCCAAGAAGGTACTATGAACTATGTTTTTCGCAGCACTGCAAGTGTATTTTTTTTTAAATTGCATTTTCTTAAAAAATTGAGATGCAATTAGCCAGTATTGCTTTTCTAAAAAAAATATGACATGGACAGAAAAATATAATATGGAACTCTCATAAACGATATACCGTCATTACTGTTACTGTATTATTATTTTGGGATTAGGCTATAAGTACAGTTTTATCAATTGATTACACATATAACACCTTGAAGTTATTACCATGGGCGAAGTTATGTCATCAGATCTGGGGGGGGCTAAAGCCCTAGTCATATAATATATAATAGTTCTAGAGGTATACCCGAGAATACCGATCAAGGAGAAGCGACAGCTTGGTGTTTTCAGTGTACCGTTTTGTAACGCGCATGTGCGAAACTAAGTTGTGTATCACTCAAAATTATGTTATCTGTCAAAGTCAGTCCAAGTTGTGTTTAGTACGTGAGCAATATTAAATGATATTTTTTGGTGTTTGTTTTGTGTAGTAATAAGATGAAGATTTTTATTCTAATACAGACATAAAATGTGCCAAAAAAGTTATTAGGAAACTAAGAATTTTATCACATGCATAAATATTAAGTAATGATTTAATCATTTTTGAAATTTTATTTTTCATGTGTAGGTATTGTATTTTGTGAAATATATGTTTCTCTTCTCATAAATAAATTTAATAAACAATGAACTGCAGATTTTGTTTATTTTATTTTGAAATTATATTTAAAAAAATATAATAAATTCGCGTATTTCAATTAGGATTGGTCAAAGTGGGCGAAATCCCTTTATTATGGCTAAATTGTAAGTTACAATTATGTCAATATAAAGATGTTTTGCCCATTCATGTTTACATTTATTGAATGAATCATCCTGGAGTTGATTTTGGAAATATTGGTGCATACTTAAATAAGTACTATTTTTAAAAATTCGTCTATGCACACACAGTCCAATGGACGTCCACTTTAGATCTATTTGAGGGTCAGCAGCCCTATTCTTGACCACTCGCAAATTTCAAGGTCACTCGTAAAGTCTGACATTACGAATGAAATAGCAAATTGTGTATTCTTGATTATACGCAACAAATTCGAGTACTCGCATAAAACTGCGAGTGGGTATTATCAATCGCAAACTACTTGCGTGTGCGTTTAATGAATTGACTTGTGCCATATGTGTTTAGTTTTTAATTTAAGATCTATTTTTTTGAATGGATACTTGTATTAGACTTACTAAAAACGTTGAAGATGCGGTTATAGCATGGTTATACCAGTGCAGACACATAATTCGTTCCTGAATAATAATTAATTTTATATTTTAAGTGAACATGAGCTTGTGCAAAAATAAAGAATTGTGTCGATTTTTAATAATACACGCTCGCCCTATATGAGACCTCAGATTAAATATAACTTAACATATTTCATTTATTTAGTTAATAGTAGGTTTCTGATTTTGTAGGT